GCACCAGCTCCTCATTCAAGCCTGGCACCGGAGAGAAAGGGGGTGAGTTTGTGATATCCCAGGGAACCCCGGTTTGGGACCCGTACATCATCCTTCCCCACCGCGTTACACGTAAGCTGGTGCGGAGAACCAGGAGGGACCTCCCCAAAGGATGCACGTTTTCTAGGATAAACCACCGCATGCAAGCGGTTCCTCTCCTGAAATAGCTTAACGCGGCAGCAAAAATAAAGATGAATTTTGTAGTGCTTGGAGTCCCACTGGTTCAGCTTTCGCTCAGTTGTGGGCGATAACCCTGAGGAAGAAATAGGCTGCAGCAAGCAGCCGAGCTGCTCGCCCCAGCAGCCTCAGGTTTAGCTTTTTAATTCCCAGCGGCGACGCAGAACGGGCTGCCCAGCCCTCCTGCGTTGGGGTTCCTGCCCAAACCGGCCCCTCTGCTCAAGAGAGATGTTCGTGACATTGGATTCTTGCTCGGGGTTGGGTCAAAGAGCAGGGACGAAGAAGAAAACAGAAAGGACCAGGTGGAAAAATGAATCCCTGAGGGCTGTACCTGCCCATCACTCACTGCCAGCGCTGGTGTTCAGAGCCCTTAAATACAGCTGTACTGGGCGAACGCCTCTTCAGCTTGGGAAGCAAGCTTGCTGTTAACGACATTAATGCTTACGCTCCCATACTTGGGTGCTTTCTGAAGTGAGGCTAATTAATGAGCATTTTTTTTCGCCTTGGCAGCACAAAGTAACAAATCACGACTCAACGGCGCAGCTCTGCATCCTCCGCAGGGCTGGTTCCAGAGGGATGCCCATTAACCAACATGGGTAGGGAAGGAGCAGCTCAGCAGCCCCCAACCAGCCTTTTTTTTTTTTCAGACCTACAGCCACCAGAGAAGTCTAACCCCAAAATGGTTAATTAATTAATTGGTTGGAAGATGGAGATCCCCTGGGGAAAGAAAACCCTGGATCTTTTGGAGAGAGCAGAGGCGAGGCGGCGGGGCACTGCCCCCACGGGCAAACGCAAGGGCCCACGAAACGTGTTACGGGGCTGCACGGCATCGTGTTCATCGGGGAGTGGATTTACCCCGGGATGTTTGCTAAACTGGAGGGTTTCTCCACCTATGGATGGTTTTGATGTCACGACACAGCGCCACATGAAGACGTAGCCATAAAGCCATGAACGGCAGGGGCTTCCAGGGCAGGCAGATTTCCCAAGACTATTTTTACCCGACCAGGTTTTGAGTTACAAGCGGGGCGTTAGGTGCTGGTACAATGCTCCAACCCTCCTCTCTTATGGAGCCAAGCAAGCGCTTTAGGAGAAACTGAAAAAAGGAAAGAAAAAAAGCCAAAAGGAGCCAAACCTGGAGAGAACTCCATCTCCAAGTACCGCGGTGCACCTCTTCCCTATATTCCTGTTATCGGACATTTACCAACATTTCTATGTGTATCCGGGAGAACTGTTCTTAATTAAACGGGAGACACTAAAGAATAATTACACAAGTATCACTTACTTTCTATCTGTGAGTGGAGATCATTGACTATCACTTGTAGCTGCCCGATAGTCATGTCTCTTAGATCAGTGGGCTTCAAACTTCTCTTCATCAGGCATTCACTTATATGAGGCATATGTGGCAGCTGAAAAGAAATTTTCAATTGTTTTACCGTTTTCTTCAGACTATTTGTATTTCCGAACACTATCAAATCAAGCTGAAACATCTACACAACATTCGACCCAAGTCTTGCGATCTCCCAGCGTCGGCAATATACTGATGTCGAGGGAGGCGAGGGCTACGGCGAGCAGCGTTGTACCGAGGCAGGAGCGCTCCGGGATGGACTGGGATGGGATGGGATGGGATGAGCAGACTACTACTTTGAGGATGAGCAGCATCATGTCGGTCTCAAGGCAGTTACAACCTTCACACTTCAGCATCTCATTCCCTGCATCTGTCCCGCTCCTGTAACACCCCGATAAGATGACCCATGCCGACTCTTCAACTCCTGACAGCCAGTCCCTATCTCCACTGCTCCTCTGCATGGCTACAAGCACCGCCGGCCGGTGTGCACGTCTCGACAAGCAAAAGCAAACAGCAAAAGGGCTGGCGTTACCCCCACGCACCCTCCCACCGCCCCCACTTACAAGATCCGCTACTGGTGATTTCTTCCTGTTCTGCTTTTCCACCTCGACCTGCATTTTGGCCATGGGCTTTGCCATAGCCAAGGCCATTTTGGCTTCAGCTTGGAGTTTCTTTTGCCTGGTGAGGAAATCCATGTCGTCGAGGGACTCCGACTCTTCCTCCGTCGTGTCTCTGTCGGAGTAGGACGAGCTCTGCTTGCTCTAGGGAGGCAGACAGGCAGCCGTTACAGCCCCGTCACCTCAACCGTGCCACAGCAAAGATGTTTGCTGTTGGCCTAACATATTCTTGTGCACTTACAAGCGGTGTCGCTTCTACAGAAGCAGTGGAGAGCACAGATTTTTTTTTTATTTTGATCCGTAAGATTATCTTTAAAAAGCAGAGTAATTCCCAGATAGGCCCCCTTGACTATCAATAGCAACTTGGGCACTTGAAACGGAAAGAGGAGCCAGCCGGATCAATAGGTGCTGAAGGGACAGACTGGTTAAGCTGGAGGAAAGCATCTGGGGCCGCGGTGTTATATTCTCAAAGGAAAAGAGAGGAGAGGAAAGCTGGTGGGAGCTGATACCGCTTCGTATCCATTACTGCCCTGATAATTATCAGAGCCAAAAAGAAAGGGAGGAAGGAAGGAAGGAAGGAGGAACGCTTCCACGTGACGGCATCTGCTCTACAGCAGCTCCGTGCTAGCCGGGGGCGATCTGCTATCTGCCCCTCAGCATCTCGCCCTTCTTTTATTGATGGCTGAAGATGCTGCTCTGGGGTTTAGCGTTGCTATTTTAACGGGATCAGCTCTTTATCAGTTCCCATTATGGATGCCCTGTGGTTTCCACACTCCAGACCCTCTGCGGGACGGGTTCCCAGACCTACCATGGGCGACAACGGCGTGTCCAGGCTGGTTTCTGTCTTGCTGTCGTCGGCATCGCTGTCCTTGTCGCTGCCGCTGTCGTTCACGAAGCAAATCTGCAGGTTCATCCCACTTTGTAATCTGTGGGGGGAAAGGGAGAGGTGACACCGCAGCCCCCTCATGCTGCCACCGCCGCCGGCAACCCACGGCTCTCTCCGCTGTGCCGACGGGTTCTGCCAGCAAGATGCCGCAGCACCGTCAGCAGTTTGTGTTTTGAAAGGATGCCATTGTCCTGATTTTCCATTGATCTCAGAAAAATATAACCATTTTCCCTTTTTTTTTTTTTTTCGCCCCCAAGAAGATGGTCATCCCCCACCCAAAAGCAGAGCCAGGCCCCCCCGGCCCGTGGCGGCAGGGCAGGGGCAAGCTCAACGTGGGGCCGGGAACTCAG